CCGACAAGCTCCGGAGCAGGGATCCTACGAGGTAATAGAGACTCTCGGATAACAATGGCCACACCCCCACCCCTTTCCTGAGCTCGCGGCTGATGGAGCACCTGGTCATTGAGAAAGAGGCAGCTGGGCGCAAAATATTTGCTGTTCTCATACACCAGTCTTCATCTTTGTACTCTGCCAGGGAAATAGAAAGATTTAATCGAAAGATCCTACATCTTTCAACATTTGCCCCTAGTACAAACCAGATGCCATGTTTCTGCTACTATGGCTGCCAGAATATTAAATATGCAACTGTAGGCACAGAGAAGATTTCACCATTTTTCCAATATATGTTTTCACAGACTATTGTATTCTGATTTATTTATTGTTTTGATGTTACTCTCGGACAGCAGTCCCCAACCTTGGTGGTCTGGCTGGGGGGGTGGAGAGAATCAGGCCATGCAAGAGGTGGACTGGCACACATGTGCACATGCAAGTGGCAGGCCATTGCGCATGCTCACCCAGCTTGACTGAAATATAGACATGCATGCCAGCCCTCCACTTGCATGATTCAAGCTGTGCGCCTGCTGGCCCACCTCTCACATGGTCCTATTCAGAATAGGCCAGTGCCCAGTAGTGAGCCACAGCCTGGGGGTTGAGGCTCCCTGCTCTAGGGGACCTGAGGAAATAGGGAATTGAACCTTCTTGAAACTATTCTGTATAAATGCAGGCAGTCCCAGTACCATTTTTTATTTTACATATAAGGAAGATGCTCTCCAAAGCAAATGGGGGAAATTTCCCCTCACCCCATTCACTATGATTTCCATCGATATTTTCACCATGTTTATTTTAGCTTCAAGGCAACATTGAAATGCATGCAGCTTGTTTAGCAAACTATATCATTTACTGTAGATCCTCTTTAAATCTTCCATTGAAAACGTTTGGTATTGTTAAAACAAACAAGCAAAAAATGGTAATGAAGTCTGGCAATCTAGCATGGAAATGTTTCCATACACTTGATACATAAATATAAAATTAAATTTAAAATATATAGTTTTGAGCAGGTAATGTTATAATAGAAGAAATTACTGTAAGTAGAAGCAGACCTGTTGAAAATAATGAGATGGCAAAAATGCATTCAAGCTTCATTTCTGGATTTTACCGAATCCTTTTAAATTCTGATTATATTTGAATGTTTCTTCCTTTGTCACAGGCCCATCTTGTAGCTGCATTTGAAAAAAGCTTAGGAAATATGACAGGCCGGTTACAAAGCCTAACAATGACGGCTGAACAAAAGGTATGTTTGAACCAGCAAATGCTGTAATGTGGAGAATCTAACTTAATCCAATGGCACTGACTTATGTTAGAGTTTGCATTAATAGAGGAGTACAGCAATAAACAAACAGGTGCATCTTTCTTTCATTATCCATGCTATCAAATTTTTACAATAAGACTCTATAAGAATCACCCTACTCATAATTACAGTTAGCAAGCTGTATCGGAAAGAAGTGGGATGATAAAATCTTTCATTTTCAAGTTTTAATTAAAATATTTGTCACTCTGGATTTAATGTGTATTAAAAATTTAACAACAAAAGCTGGTTATAAACCAGCAGATGTAACTTGGCAACATTATCAGAATACTAAATATTAGTTGACAATGTTTCATGTTTTAGCCTTTCAGTCAATGTTATCTTGAGGGGGTAGGACAAATAGATTTGCTTGACTTCACTATTGAGTATATTTAACATAATAGTTGACATGTAAATTTAGGATATAATTTTGGTTTATGTTGCATTACATTGGGTGGCTAGTTCTTGACATTGCAGTACTCTAAACAATTTTCCAAGGAACTCTCAAAATATTTTGTCTGGTTTCCAAGATGTTTTTCTAGCCATTCTGTTCTGCCATTCAAAAAAGAAAGAAAAAAAGCAGTCCCATTTTAAGTATTTATAGCACGGGTGTAAAACTTGTCGCGTCACATTGCCGTCACGTGACATTTCATGATGTGTTCTCCATTTGTGGACCTGGGGTGGGCCTGGCCTGCACATGACACATCCGGCCTGTGGGCCACCAGTTTGACACCTCTGATTTATAGGAATACAAATTTGTTTTAAGAATCAATGAAAAAGTAAGTCAATCAAAACGTTTCCCTTTACATTTGTGTGTGTGTGTGTGTGTGTGTGTGTGTGTGTGTGTGTAATTTAGAATGCTACATAAAATTTACAATGTGAGAAAAAGGGAGAGCAGTGAAACTGGATAGAAAAAGCTACATCTTATGTCATTAGTAAGAATGTTTGCTTTATTAAAAAAGAAAAATTATACAACAGAAAAAAGAAACATTTTTCTTCTTGTGTTCTATTACAATTTACTTGGTAATCTTGCATTCAAAATTCTTGAAAAAATAAATGGATTCATGTTGGGTACATGGAAAATAAAATGTTTGAAACCTTAAATATTAAAATGAACGAAGAATGAGGTATGGGGATATTCTGGGAGCTGACATCCACATATATTAAAATTGCTGGGGCTGAGTAATAGTGATATCAGTGACAGATGACTCAACTATAGAATGACACATATGATGTAAATTTAAACAAATGATGTAATTTTCTATTTAAATGAATGGCACTATAAGACTCCCTAAAGGTGGTTTGAATGAAGATTTTGCTATACTGATATTGACTTTGATAAGCTTTTTCTAAATATCCTGATATGCATATTAAAAAAAAACTTTCTTGATTTGACTAGCAATAAATGTTTTAAAGGATTTAAGTTTCAGTATACAAAATGAGAGCTGGAAACTGTAATGGAAGAAGCGGATATAGTTTCAACTATACATTGCACTTACTAAATAATTTCATACTACATTTTCTCCCACATAATAAATATGTGAAATATCGTGCATGTCTTCACAAATGTTTGTTTTTTTCTCTAAAACTTCTTACTTGCAGCAGTTGTACAGATAAATAACTTCCAATTTAAGAACTTTACATTTGATTAGCAGAGATGAGAAGCAAACATGAAACCTAATTTTCTCCTTAGTTTCACTTGCATTTTTCACGTACACCTTGTTTTCATTCCAATTTGTGTGTTTTTACCCCAGAGGATAAAACCTAATTACTGTGACACATTTTGAGTCTTTCCCTCCTGTTCCCAAAGGAATCAGAACTCATAGAACTGCGGGAAACCATTGAAATGCTGAAAGCTCAGAACTCGGCTGCACAGGCTGCTATTCAAGGAGCTCTGAATGGTCATGACCACACTCAGAGAGGTATGATATTCTGTCTTACTTTTCAGGGCTGTAATGATAGCTCATTACCAGCTTTCTGTTTTTTCAAAAGAATGGGTTTTGTGCCACATTTGTAGAACCTTCCATATGAAAATATATGTTTGCAATGTTTCCAAATCTTAAAAAGTTCAACTTCAAAAGTTATTTATTTATTTATTATAATTTGTCAAACAGAAACAAAAACGGGAATAATATAAAAATGCAACGACAGGGACAATAGGCACATTAGTGCACTTATGCACGCCCCCTCTATGGACCTCTTAAGTATGAAGTGAGGTCCACGGAAGTCAATTTGTGACTAAAATTGTGAAAATTTGTAGCTGAGACAACTGAATCAGGTAGGGCATTCCAGACTTTGACAACTCTATTACAAAAATTGTATTTTTACAGTCAAGTTTAGAAGTTATTGATTTACAAAGAATTTGCTTCTTCTGAGGAACTACTAAGGACTCCTGGGTTGACAAATTGCACATTAGTGCTAGAATCACCCATAGAGCTCAAGCCAACAATGTAGAATTGAAGGGCAGGTCTGCATTTTTCAATTTTCTATCCACTTATATTAAATGGGATTGGAGATGGCATAAATGATGCCAACAAAGGCTGGCATAAGCAGGATCATGCTGCCTTTAATTATGCATACAGACTTGGACTTGATTGTTCTTTGTACAAGAACAATTTTCATTAATTTTATTCTGCAATCTGTAAGTCATTCCACATGATTTTTCAACAGACATAAGCAGAAGAAGAAAAAGATGTTTCAAAAGAGAACAGTACTTAAGAAGTCTCCATTAATTTATATGTTCCATTAATTTATACTCTGTTATTGATTTAGTAAAAACGATCAAGAATAATCAAGAGATGTATTAAATGCTTTATATCGTTCCTTAAATAGTCACAATTATAGTCTGGATAAAGGATGTAGGAGAGTTTAATATAATATTTGAAACACTAGAAAAGGAGTTACCATATTTTTCGGATTATAAGACGCACCTTTTTCCTCAAAAAAGAGGGTGAAAATCTGGGTGCATCTTATATGAGTACAGCATTTTTTGCCTCTCGAAGCCCCGCCTCTTCACCAAAATGGCCGTGCATACCCTTATGGAGGCTTTCAGAGAGCTCCTGGGGACTGGGGAGGGCACAAATGAGCAGAAAATGGGCTGTTTTTTTGCCCCCCAGCCCCCGCCAGCACTCTATAAGCCTCCGTAAGGCTATGCATGCAATTGTTTTGACAAAAAACAGGCCAATTTTAGTGAAAAATGGGCCATTTTTTGCTCATTTATGGCTCACCCCATCCCCCAGGAGCATTCTGCAAGCCCCCTAAGGCTATTCATGCCTTCTTCTTTTTTTGAAAACGTGGGCCCGTTTTCACAAAAAAACAGGCCATTTTTGGGAGGTTTGCAGAGTGCAAAAACTTTTTTTCCCTTTTGGAAAGCTCTTTAACTGATTGATGAGAATTACAT